CCTTCGCTCAATTCGCCAAACTCAGCGCACTTCACTTCCGCTTCTGCCTCTAGGCCATCATCATGTCGTCGTTCCATCGTCCCATCATGTCTGGCAATTAGGACACCCTCCTCTGGGAAACACTGACAACTGTATTAATATAAATCAACCAAGGGTATAATCGATATCCCAATCCCGGAACGCCAATCACCGTGTCAGGTAGACACCCATACACACACACGCGCGCGGGCCTTGCGGCCTTGCTTGAAGTCCTTCAAAGCTCATCAACAGTGAATTCTGCCCCTTCCAATAGGGCATGCTCCTGGTTGTCTGCGCCGGTGAACCCAAACTTGTCCATGGGGAAATCTTCCTCGGGCGTCCTAATACCGATTCCGCTATCGTCGTGGACATCGCCCCCACTCATACCCATCGAGTTCTGGTTGGGTTTGTTGGCTGGGGGGAAGGGAGCGCGTTCCCCTTGGTTTTGCGATGAATTGTTGAGGTTGAATTCGTCACTACCGCCGCTGTATCGGGAGGGTTGCCGGCTCGTGTCTTTTGTTGCTTGGGGTGGTGTGGGCGTTGTCGACCATGTTGTCTGGCTCCTTTTTTGCTTCATAAATCCTCCCTCCTCCACCATAAAGCAGACCAGCTCATCTATCCATGTTTTGGTCACCCACCATGAACTGAAGCTCTTACCCTGGTTCATGGTGAGGTCTCGCATCACAGCAGTACCAATTCTCTCAACGCATAGCATGATGTCGCTCGCTGAGGCGTAAGGGAACCTGGTCGGTAGACTGTTGAGGAATGTTACCCAACGATCAAGCTGGTATGACTCGCCCTTTTCACCAGAAGCTTCGGCGCCACCGTCGACATCACTATCAGATGGCCGACCTTTGCGCGACAAAACATCTCCATATATAGTGAGACATTCCACCTCCCAAGGCACGTCTGTGGGATCAACGAGATCTCGAATCTCGTTAAGCAGAAGATTCACAACATCGTCCATACCCCGAGTAGGAACACATTCGGCAATCTTTCGAGGCCGGATTGTTGTGATCCAGTCGATATACATCTGATTACGCTGCTCACGGGATGAAAGGAAATTAGCAGCAGCGTGAGCTGTCAAGTTGACTCTCAGCGCGCGGTCGATGAGTCCAACAAAGAGTGCCGCGGGTCCCTCCTTAGCACGTATTACGTGCTGTGGCTGGCCTTGGAAAGACTCACGTATGTGCATCACCAGTCTATCCGATATGGACCTGAAAATATCCAAAACATACTTAGGAACAACCTGGAGTTTCAAACCAGATACGATGCTCATCATACGCTGGTAGAGAATGAAATCACACTCCTCAATCCAAGGAGCCAAGGCCGGGTTCCCAAACAGTTTCAGCACAGGCATGGTGAGAGTCCCTTGGAAAGCACCATAAAGATGGAAGAAGGTCTTCTCTTTACAGAAACGGATACAATCGACTAGTGATGTGCAGTGGGCGCGATACAATGCGAATAGAGACTTGGCAGCGTCGGGGTCGGTGCCTTGAGGGAGGTAAGGCTCGAGGTTAGGAAGAATAAGAGGTTCCTCAGGGTCAACAGGCCCATCAGACTCGGGACGGAAGCCCAGTTCGAGCTGAGTCTTTGTTGTGCTAGAGCTGAGGTGGGCAATGTTGGCAATCTGTGGCTGGTTGTATATGCTACGTGACTGGAAGCCGGACTTTTGCGATACTGGGGCCGGGTTGGTCTCAGTGCTGCCAATTTGAGGGGACGGAAGGGCCCCTTGGCTCAAACTGATAGTCGTCTGCGAAGGAAGAGTGCTACTTCTGTTAGCAAGCACATACAAATTACGGTCAGGGATAAAGCTAACTTGAAGCTTTGAGTGAAGGCCGGAGGTTCTGGTAGAGCGCGGGTTGGCTGCACTGAAGGCTCCCTAACCTCGGCCTGGTCCTCCTTGAGTGTGAAGTTCACATAATGATATTTGGACTCTCCGCGAACACCGAGTCGCCGTGTCTTTAGACCGGGGAACAACACCCTAACAAGCTTCCCGAAGCTAGCGGGATTAAGTACGGTGATTCTTTCGGTAGCACATCTCGACGCGTAGTTGGCGTATACTCGTCCTCGAGGTACGGAACCCTTGCCCCTTTCACAGACGCCATGGATCCTATGGGACGATTAGCATACCTGTTGCAAATATGGTAAACATTTCACGACGTACCAGAGCATTGCAAAAACCTGTCGGGTTCGCTCTGAGTTCGGACCTCGTTCATTTCCATGAAGCTCGCTGGCCACGTCAGGGAGGCTGCGATGCTCGTTGGCTTTGAATAGAGCTCTCATTTCAATCTCGTTATTTGCACTCGATCTATTGGACGCGGGCTTTGGGGCTCCAATCATTCCAGCAAAGGAGTTCTCGTCATTATCGTCCCTCTCCATCATTTGGCTATCTCCCTCGGTGAAACTGGCATGGCTGTTATACTGCTCAGCGGGTAACGGGTGCCTTTGCATGGCATGTTTTTGATGTTGATACTGCATCTGGTGACCCATTGGTGCACTCATTGAGGCGTCCATTGAGAAATCCTGGGTTGCTTGGAGTTGCTGAGCCATCATGATATCCTCTGCTGACATCTGAGGCGTGTTCATGTCCTTAACTTGAGCATGACCGTGGACGTGTGCATTTGGGTGTATTTGGCCATTTGGATGAACCTGTCCATGCTGGGCCGCCATCCATTGCGCGTTGTACATGTCTGAAGCGTCGGGAAAGGCAGGCTGCTCCAAGCTGTTGAGGGAAGCTGTTGAAGCACGGGATAACGGTCGTCGAGTCGATCTGACGGCGGCCCGGGTGGTTGGACCTTGAGCTTGATTCTGGTCTGTTATATCCACTGAATTGAATTTGTCAACAACCGGAGACTTTGTAGCTTGACATGAATAAAATGAGGAGATGTTATGCTTTAGCAGCGAAGTTAAAAGATTGTTATGTTGTGTTGTGTGTTTAGACTTTCCCACTGAGTAGCGCGTCCGTAGTAGGTGCCTCAAGCAGGAGGAGATGAGGTTGTTTGGGTATGGGGTTGTCTAGGAAGAAAAACAAGGGAGAAAGTAAACTTACTGTTATGCTCCATACTTAATTGAGTGAGGTACGAGACGAGACCGGGCTGGACTGGGCTGAACCTGAACCGACCGGGACTTTGTGTTGACTTGGTTGACGGAAGAGAGGAATTTGTGGGCGGGCTAAACAACAAACATTGGCTGGGCTGGGGTGTTCGGATGCGCCGACGTCAATAACAATGAAACTCGAGTGAAAAGGAGACGTCAAAAGAGTCGCGAGAAGGGAAAAAAAGACCAGCTGAAGCTGAATAGAAAGAAACTCGTTTCAAAGATGCCGCGCAAGGAGCTACTCGGGTGCGATATGGCGCGGCGCTGAGGGTAACAATTTGACGTTCCTGGAGCTGTTGTTGTCCTTGTTTTGTCGTTGCGAGGTCAACGAGAAATGGATGGTCGGTGGTTCAGTTCAGTTAGGTAATCTTGCTCGCAGCCAGAGCGGGGGTGTTATCCACTTGTTCTATTGGCTTGTCTCACCCGGCTCTCATTGGAAGGGTACGGTAAATTAGCCGAAATTCCTGTTATGATGAGAAACGAGATTTGACTGGCTGCGAATCATTGCTTCTTTTACGATGCCCTCGATCTGTGTTTTGAGGCTTGAAACTGCTATACCATCCCCGGTCAAAGGTGCTCACCGCGAGAACTCGGATGTGTTCTCAGTTATGGAGGAGATCTCCGTTGCCCTTCACAGCCCATGATCGTCCACTGCAACGTGAATCTTCGTAGACAGAGACTGGTTCAACCTCCGTCAAGCTTCTTGGCAGAGATTCAGTTGTCTAGGGGAGATGTGAGATGCTAAGCACATGTTCTGCGTATGATATGGACACGAGATCACGATCAGTGACAATCCACCCCAAGGGAAGCAAACGAGACAGATAAATAAGCATGGGCCCGGACAACCGTCGAGACATCTAGCTAACAAACGGCATAAAGACGGTGAGTATCAGACGATGAGCATCTTAGTGTTATTAAGAGTCCAGATGATTACTATACATATTCTTTCTTCTATCACGAACTTCTGCAAGCTGGCGGCAGTCCTTCCATACAAATACCACGACATTGTACTCCGTACCTTGTTTGCTTACATCTGCCACAATTCATTGTGTCTCGACCCTATAGCATAACAATTTGTATGTTTGATATCCTAGGAACCAGTTATGATGGACATATACATACATATATATCCATTTTTCCAGACGATCTCATTGCAGAATCCAATACTCCGAGATTTATGCAAGTTTCCTGCGTCCCGCTGTATGTAGCCTCCAAACCGTTGAGGTTTGCCCTCCCGAATGATGTAATTCTTTCATTTTTGCTGTAGGTACATGTGATAGTGTGCAACGGCGCTAGGGAATAAAGTACACTGCGTCATACCTGGAATCGTCCAATCTGACGTACGTTCGGATTGCTCTCTCTCTATCAGGAGATATGTATTTGTGACCAAAAATTGAAAAAAGTCAACTGCAAAATACACAGTATTTATAAGAACACAATCTCCTACAGTTTTCATACTAACGAGTAAAATATTCATCACCTGCACAACATCACAAGCCTCAATCGTCTTGCTGATCAACTTAGCACTTCATCTCGCAAAAACCCCCGAACTTACAGGGTCACAAGCCACTGACACACAGTCACTCTCGGTCATTGTCACTGATTGTCTCCGCGTCAATTTTCTTCCTGCTTCCAAGATTCGCTAGGCCCTGTACCTCAGTGATTGGGTTCCCATAAACTTCCCCCCATCTCAGCTGCAGCTAGCGCCACGATAAAAGCTGCCCTCTTCCAGCCCATTCAACTCCTCTTACGTATTGGACGCTAAGTTAGCTATTTCAATACACCACACAACCAACCCCTCCAACACCTTTTTTTCAACTCTCTCACAGCATCACAGCTTCTTTGACAAAACCACACTCACACAAAATCTGCCATAACCAACAATGTCCGCCCAAGATAAGGCTCAGCAGTACCTTGGTCAGCTCGACCGCGAGGTACGCATATCCCCTCACCCTGCGATTATAGCCGCCGCATTGCAGTCAAGCACAAATTGCGCAACGTTACCTTGCAAAATGCTGACACTGATGCCATCCGTATAGCTCTCCAAGTACCCCGCCCTCAACAACCTCGAGAAGCAGGCTGGTGTTCCCAAGGCCTATGCCGCCATCGGTGTCGGCGCTCTCTACTTCTTCCTCATTATCTTCAACCTCGGAGGCCAGCTTCTGACCAACCTCGCTGGTTTCGTCATCCCCGGCTACTACTCTCTTGGTGCCCTCTTCACTCACAACAAGGAGGATGATACTCAGTGGTTGACTGTACGTGGCCTTTTCCCTATCATCGGAGCTGATTCCGGGCTTTGCCGAGGCTTCCTACGATCACAAGCGGTCGCTAACTAGTTTTACAGTACTGGGTCGTCTTCTCTCTTTTCACTGTGATTGAGAGCTTCGTCCAGGTCGTCTACTGGTTCCCCTTCTACTACGTCTTCAAGTTTATCTTCCTCCTCTGGCTCTCTCTCCCTGCCTTCCGGTAAGTTGCCATGCGGGTCTTGCTGCCCCGCTATCCGGAGGATTCGCTTCAAATACTGACTGAAACTGATTAGGGGCGCTGAGCTCATCTTCCGATCTTTCCTGGCCCCTACCCTCGGCCGATACTTCCAGCAGACTGGCTCGACTGCCTCTGGCCTCCGCGCCAAGGCTGACGGCCTCGACAAGACCGAGTAAACGGTCTCCAAGGTTTAGCTTGATCGCCAAACTAACTCTTGCGAATTGTCGCATGCCCCGGATCAAGCAATCTCGGTACTAGAGGATCAGGAAATAGTTATTTATAGGAACTACTCAGCTTCAAAACCACGCTACGCAAATTGGAGGGAATGAGGAGGAGGACTGGCCAGGATTAGGATTTATACCAGCTAGAGAAGCTGTATTGGACTGCTGGGTTGTTCAGGAAGACTTGTGTCGTGTGGATGACTTTGTGTGATGAATGAATGCACTAGAAATATCTTGTTTTGCTTTGAGAGATGCTCTTTTTGGAGCTTCATGAGAACACGTATTGCTGGTATACCGTTTGCCTACCCCACATCTTTGGTTTTGCAATTAAATACCCATGGTAAGGTATCGGGTGTTTCCCGCGTTGTATGAGCATTCAGCTGCAACTGTCGCGTGCTCAGTTGCTCAGCTGTCTCAAAATATCAACATGTATTGCTATGTCACTAATCGTTAACTTCTCACTGGTGGCCAAGCTCCAAGCTTGTTGGCCTGCGATCCAATCTTATCCGATCTGGCCTGACTTGTTGACTTACACTTGACGTAGTGGTAAGTAGTGGCCACAGAACCCTTTTTTTAGTGGCCCGAGCTTTGTACCCGTTCGCCCAGACCCAAAAAGATCCGAACCCATTCCATTGTTGAAGCTGAGTGTGCTTGTGGCTGTGCTGTTCCCGAATTAACCTCTGACTGCGCCTCACTTCCCCTTGCGACTCTCGACTCCTTGGCGCATCAACAAGTGGATGGCACATGCTTGTCAGCCTCAACGACTAAGTTAGCATCTTATCCTGCGCTGAACCATTCAATTTGTTTCGTATTTTCCGTCTTTTCACCACGACAACTAATGCTCTCTATGGTTCGGTCTTGGGAGAGCTCACGATGATAACTCGGCGCCAATAACAACCACATGCGAAGAAAACCGCACGTTCATTTGCTGATTGCGTGTCGATAAATCAAGCTCGAACTCAACGAAAAGGCAAAAGCCCCTGGAGGGAAAGGCCACCATCATGATACCCAATTCGCCCACGTCAAGACCGTCCACGTCGATAATTACTTATCTATCAGTTCTGGCATTGAGCTTGATGCTCTGCGCTCCTGGAAACACTGAAGCTACACTTTCATCACCCAACTCGGTCTTCGACTTTGAAACACTTATCGAACGAAGCGATACATCGAAATTGATATACGAACCAGAGTTTGCGGCTTTTGATCGCAGTATTATTGGTCGTGCCCCGCCAGACCAACCGTTATTAACGAATAATGGCCCCGATAGTAGACCGATAATTCCTGGAGGGACTGTTTGTTACATTGTGGATAGGAAGACGTTGTTCGGGAAGGACAAGAGAGACGATGATCATAAAACAACCGGGGAGACCGCGCATCAGAACACTCGTCGAGCAGAGACAAAGACTGTCTATGTGTCTGCCAATACTTGTTCCAGGCCAACTCTAAAGACTAAAGACAAGAGCGGGAATACAGAACTGGCACCGCAGCTCAGTCTTTATACTTCAACAACAAACAAGATCAAGTGCCCAACAGCAGGCAATTACAACAAGTCAAATCCTGACACCGCCAGGATACCGTTCGACGAGGGCGCAGTTATGCTAACTATGAATGCTACCGACGACATATATATCAGCGTTGTGGCTCCGAATATATCAAAGGCCGATGGAGAATACAAATACCAAATCGCCATTTCTTTCGACGAGTACTACCACAATTACGATGCCAAAAATGGTACTGCTCAACTACTGTTGATGGACTTTGACTCAACATCAGCCCTCCTTTTCACCAGTGATTTGACCCAGGACTCGGACGAGACTCAGCAGATCATGAAGAGGCCGCCACCGTATCAGATATTTATCGGGGACGACAAATTAAGATCCATCGATGGCCTGCAACACTCAACCTGTGGCCTCGCGGACCACGCGGAAATTTGGGCCAACGATAAGAAGACTGGGCGAAACAACGATCTCGTTACGACTGGCCTCACGACACGAGGACAAGGAGGATTGCCCAAGCAGCAATTCCTGGTTGCAGGGCTCAACCACAGTACCACCTACTCGGGAATCCTCGTCAAGATGCCGGATAGTGATAGCAAACGAGATACCAAGTCTGGGCGTACCATAGGCGGTGGAGGCACTGTCTACAAGGCCACCACGTTTGAAACCTCGTCCAGTAAGATCAATTGTGCTTCAAGTTGCTTGAATATTGGCTAACCTATCATCAGGCACAAACTGTAAGATGGTTACAAATCTGGACTTCTGCAACGAGACACAATATGCAGTGCCTGGCAATGACAAAAAGTTCAATAATACTGCTCTGGCCAAGCATTACGATGATTATGCCAGAAAGATGTACGCCAATTTTGAAAGAGTCATGATGCAAGTACCCTGCGAAGCGCCCCCTGAGTCTCGCTACTCGCTAGCACGAGATTGCGATGAGTGTCGTGAAGCCTACAAGCGCTGGCTCTGCACCGTCACGATACCTCGCTGCGAGGATGTTATGGGCGGCAGCAAATATAGCGTTGTTCGCGATGCTTTTCAAGCCTTTCCCAATGGAACAACGCTTCCTGATAATTTCCGCAAGGGTCTCAAAGCCGCAGCAAATAACTCCTCGCGTAACGCCTGGATCGATGAAACCGTCAAGCCTGGTCCATACAAGGAGTTGCTACCCTGCGAGGACGTCTGCTACGAAGTCGTTCAAGCATGTCCCGCCGCGATAGGTTTCACCTGTCCACAACCTGGATTCCCAAGTTTTAGTGTGAGCTACGGACGGCGGAATCCGGATATTTCGAGTATAACATGTAACTATCCCGGCGAGCCAAGGACGAGGGTTAGTGCAAGTGTCACTGTTCGACCAAGCGCTTTTGCGCTCAGTGCTGTATCATTGATGGTCTGGTTGATACTATAAGAGGTGTATTTCTCCTTTTCTTTTTTGGGTATGCTGGGCGTTTGTTGTTAGAGGGACCTCTGCGGGGATGCATCTGAGATTAAATCTAGCGATAGTCTGAATTTCATGTCAAAGTTAAGATGCTCATACGTTTATACAGGTAAGGCTGTTTTGAATAACATCAGTGATTAGGTATCAGTATTCTACACAGAACAACCAAAGACAACGGGTTGCTTTGAACCCCCATAATCTCATTTAAACGCTTCAAGCCTTATTTGCCTTTGTAGCAGCATCATAATCCTTGATAGTTGTCTCAAGTTTCTCTATCGTTGCTATTCATTCACTCGTTAGCCCTCATATCTTCTCATATTCTGTCTTGCGACCAACCTTCGCGCTCCGCACGGATCTCATCTGTTTCAAGTTTTACCCAAGTCCAGTAAGCCAATTGGTACGTAAAGACAGCAATGAGAAGTGTCTTTGCGATAGGTCGAGTGAACGTGCGATAGAACTGAGACTGCCAGATTGTCAACATAAGTCTTACGAATACTTTTGCAAACATACCACTGGGCTTGGTGGCTTGTTCGCATATGTTCTTCTAGAAACTCCTATTATTTTTGGGCTTCTAGACGAAATCATAGGCCGTAGCCGCGTTAAAGTTGTTGAAATCATTGTGTTGGTAATTCGTTGAAGAGTTCACAGTCGCAAAGCAGCATAATATCGATAAAGCTTCAAGCTGCACCAGCCACATGTGGCAGTGAAGTGGGGGCGGGGCCGATGGGGGGAGAGAGACGGTCTTCACTCTAGGTAGGTACGTACTTAGGCTCCCCTGTCGCCTTCCCTTGTCTGTCTTTAAGGGGAAAGGAACACATGTCCCCAAAATTGTTAGTATAGCCCATTTAAACTTCCATTCCCTTACGGGCCCTTGAAATCTGTCCCTTAATACGATCTTAGTACTTTAACGCGACGAAGACCATTGACAATATTTGAAACCGTTCAACACTCAATTCTTCTATACATTACTTTCCAGACTTTTTATCCAGACTCTCAAGTCAGACACAATGGTACGCCACAGCCAGGAACCTCCTACAGAATCCAGTGTCGATCTCATGATGGAGCTAACATGATACTTCCTTGTAGGCGCAAACTCCCCAGCAGCGACGACGCAACGAGGCCTTTGCCAAGGGCAATGAAGCCAAGATGGGCAAGTCGGAGGGTCAGATTAAGAAGCGTGTCGAGAAGGTTCAGAAGTCTCCCATCTCCCTCTTCTGGATCTGTACGTATACACGAACCCCGATGGTTACAGGAGCTGCATTTTGCTAACACTTTGCCACTACAGCTATCCTTGGGTTCGTCATCTTTGGTGGCCTCGTCTTCGAGGGTATCTCCCGATTCTTCGGTTAAGCTTCCATCAATTGAAGTTTTCTATACTATAACAACATAAACACAAACAACAAATAACAATACCCCGACCAGACCTCGCTCTCAGCGATGGCACTACAATTTTTTCTTGGCATCTGGGAGAGTAAGGGTCTATGAATCATTTAAAAGCTATGGACAAGCACGGGACACCAGTCCACCGTCCAGAGGAGCTGAAGGGGGGAAAGGACACATATAATTGTATTTCGCCATGGGAGAACCTGTATTGAATTCGCAGGAACTTTGACTTCAGGAGAATAGGCGCAATCTGGAATCAACAAACATTGACTTCTTCTCGAAGAACAGAACAAGAGGGTTTATTTCTTTGCTTTTTGTCTACCTGACGCCATGCCGCGAACCGTGAATTTAAATAACAACCCTTTCTTTGTATGAGGAGAGCTTCTGCCAAGCCGACCGCTTCAAATGCGAATACCAGCACGAAACATATACTGTGCGTCAAACAACTATGCACCAAGACCACGACGCTTGCTGCCACCATCGTTCTTCATCTTCATACCAGCCTCGAACTGCTTCTGGATGTCGGCCTCAGCCTTGGTAGAGTCGGATGCGCCCTTGGTATTATGAGAGGCGGCGACGCTAGCACCAGCCTTCTTTCCACCCAAAAGTCGGAGGAACTTGGCCTGTCGAGCAGAGCCTCCCTCAAGATCATCGACTTGCCATTGTTCAGCCTGAGCTGCAGACTCGGGCTCCTTTTCCTTATTGTCCTTAGTCTCAGCTCGCTTTCTCTTCTTTTCGGCCTTCTTGGCTTTCTTGTCAGATGCCTTGGGCTCCTCGACCTCAGCCTCAGATTCGACAGCCTCTTCCTCTTCCTTCTTAGGCTCAACGAGTCTTACTTTCTTTCCCTTCTTGTCCTTCTTGCCCTTCTTAGACTCCTTGGGCTCTTCCTCTGCCTCGGGGGAGATATCGGCGGCGGAAACATGGCTTCGTTCGGAAGTGGCATTGCTCAGTCGGCGGTGCTTCATCACGATCTCGTCGGCTGGGATGTTCGTAGGAACTTCGGTTGGCTGCTTGGTCACGGGAGCACCTCCCTCATCCTCAGATGAGCTATCGGAGCCAGAATCTGAACTCTCGGAATCAGAAGAAGTATCGTCGTCCTGCTCAGACTTGGACTCGTTGGCGGTTTTCTGGCGAGGGGAATCAGTGTGTAAATAAACAATCATAGGATGGGTGGACTTACCTCGGCATCAAGAAGTGCTTGGTACTGGGCAGCAGCTTTCTTGGCCTCGGCCAACAACAAGTTTGCCTTTTCTTGGAGCTTTTCGGCACGAGCCTTTAGCTTTTCCTTGCGCTTGGAAGCATTGACGGTTTTCTTCGCCACGGTCTTTGACTTTCGAGGCTTGCCGCCAACGACCTCCTTGGGCTCAGCACTGACGGCACCGGCGGCCTTGACGGCTCGCTTCTCTGCTTTGGCGGAACGCTTCTTCTTGCGCTGCTCAAGCTTGGTTGACTTGTCTTGCTTGCGCTTCAGGTTCTTGTCTACGTGTCACAAACGTTAGATGAGCTTCATAGACTAGGATAAGGGACTGAAGAAAGTGGTAGCTATCTATGACTTACCCTTCTTGGACTTCACCTCAGGGTTGAGAGCAACACCGCCAGTTGTGGACGACGACATGATGACGGTCCTGGATTGACAAAAAAAACAAATTGGGTACAGAGTTGGAAGTAGAAGGACAGTTAGGAACTTCAACAGGGTCGTTTCTGTTTGCCAAAAAGCAGTAAGAAAACCAATCTCTTAGTGTTCAAGGTTGAGTGGTGAATGGCGCAAAGCAGAATCGACGATAGCTTCATGAAATGCGCAGCAGCACTGGGCAGAATCACCACTTTTTCTGCCGGGCGGTGAGAAAAAGTTGACAGGGGACCAAGCGTTGAACTTGGGTGGGGCAGGAACTGTTTGTGCACGCACATGGAAGCAGGGGCATTGCGTTCCGTGCCTTCCATTCCACTACTTACCCAGGGTGGATGAAGAATTGCCTAAACGGGCAATCGCCGGTTTACACGCCAGCTTGTGCCACTAAGTTTCTTCTTATTCATTGCCAAGCTGTTCAGCATTAGATAAACAAGAGCTTCGTTATGGTTCAGAAGTGGCTTGATCCATGAGATGAAGAGTCAATCGAAATGTTGTGTTTGTAAGGTTAAGTTCTAGCTTTGAGAAAGGATTAATGAAGCCTTATCCTGTATTACACTTGTCGCATGCATATTGCATTACATTATCCTCCAATATCTGTCTCTGGAACGACGAGGCCTTCATGCAAGAAATTGATACCCAAAAGCATGACTTATACGTTAAAGCCAAGATATAAATGATATTATGGCCTCTCGAGAGATCATTATTGACTTCTTGTCTTGACAATAAGCGGGCACATACCTACAACTCTCTTATCGAATACAACTACTGAGCGAGCACAGCTATGCTGCATGTTCCTCCCTCACACGAGTAATGACGAAATTATTCAGACGACAAAATGCAGATTGCATTCTGTAGGTATAGAGAACATTCTATAGAACGGGAGATATATGAACTGGTTGATGGTTACCAGACGATACACGCCGGAAACATTCGACACTGCTTAATTTTGCAGCAGAGGCTAGGCTATATGATTCAAGTCTCAACTTAAACGCTTCAGAGTATCCAAGAAAATGCCAGTCTATGCTTTAAGGTTATCGTGTTGGCTGGCAATAATCATGGGTAGATCATGTCCGTATCAGGCCACGACTTGTAAGATGGGGCATGGCTGGAACAAGGCATACTTCAGTTCTCAGGGATTGTTATATGCCTGAATTTGTATAGCGCTATAAATGCTGGAGGCCGCATTCTCGTATATAGGACTACAGCACATGGACATACGATTAGACCTCAAAATGTGATATGAAGTAGCCCTTCATTGGTCAGCATAACTCATATCCCCCATATACCTACCACTTTCAGCTTATCCAACTCTCAAAACTAATCATCGGGTAAGTTATCGTGCAAACGAATTGGATCAAATATTGTCTTATTATGCAAAGTCATCCCCTTGTCGCCATCTTTAACGCCAACCAGTAGCAGAGTAGAGGAGTGCCCTAGGTATGGTAAAACATGATCTATGAATAGAAAGAGAGATCATCTTTTCTCTCGTAATTAGTCCTTCATCCCTTGCCTTGCCTCGCCTGACCGCTTTGAATCATCCCGTCCCAAATCTCAGCCGCATCCAAGAATAGCAATCCAGCCCAAGAAGACCAACTCCATGTGAGCGAGCGGGGTAATACCAAAACAAAAACTCCAGAAGAGGGTGTGTGATAAGTTGTACAATGGCATTAATCGTGAAAAGTCCGTTAAATTCCTTCTATTCCCAAGTTCGAAAACCACTGTATCGATATGAGTCGAGGAAACCAAGAGAACAGGGGTTGATCTTACAATAGCTTCTTCGCAGCTCATTGACCAGCATTTGGGTCGTATAGATAAGAATCATCGTAATACATCTCGTCTGCTCCACTGCTTTCGCCATAACTTGCTTGTGCCCATTGCGTGCCGTATGAGGGTGAAGCACTGTATGTTGCTGTAGCAAAGCTATCGTCTGCGCTGTATGTTCCCCTTCTACTGCTGCTGTGTCGACTCTCGGCCTCCTGACTACGGCCAACAAAGTGGCCGATGTTCATGCTGCCCCAAGGAAGCCCTGAAGGGTCTGAGTAGGAGTTGAAGTCGTTTGCAGAGGGAATGCGGTAGCTGTTGCCAGCGTACTCCTGGTTTCGAGAATCTCTCTCGGCTCTCTCCTTGTTTTCTCGAGCCTTTTCTCCTGGGTTATTATGTTAGTTACCTGTTTGCTATTGAGAATTCTTGCTACTTACTGAACTTGCGTTGAGCAATACGGTTCTGAATTCTTCGTCTCTCTTCAGGATCTGTGATGTCTGACCAATCGACATCATCGACTGAACTTGACTTTGACTTTTTTGAGGAATGTGAAGATGAGGTGCCCTTATGGGAGCTGTGAGAGCTATGTTTTGAGCTTCCGCCCATTTTGCTTTTTTCAGAAGAATGAGGATCTGATTTGGAAGCAGATGCCTTCTTCTTGTCTTTATGACCTGAGGATTGCGACCTTGTTTGACGTGTTGGCGCAAGTTTCGAGGGAGACTTGGAGCGATTGCCGCTTGATCTCTCCTTTTCGTCAGTTTCTTGGTCAGGGGAAGCACTTTGAATGCGAATTTCTGGAGTTTGTAATTCCGATGGCGACTGATTCGGCAAGGACATCTACTCTCAGAGAGTCATCAAATTGGAGGCCTTGAAAAGATGGTATTGAGTTTGTTGACACAATAGGGGGGAACCATCTAAGTTGTAGGACTTTTATGCTGAGGCTCGGATGACAGAGTTGTAGTGTAGCAATGACAACTGAAACAAACTAGACCCTTGTACTAGAAGTCTGAGATGGATAACTAGGCAGACAGAATAGGGATGTCTTGAAGTCGGTTAGAGTTTAATTGTATTAGGATATGGTATGAACGAAACTCGAAAACGAGGGACGAAGCCACATACATGTAAGGCAACGACTTTTAAACCCTGGGCCATGATAGGTAGTGCACTAGTACCTGAAGGACCCATGCGACAGCGGGATGATTGAATCGGCCAGGACCGGGGTATCTTGGCCAGTGAGTGAGTGAGTGAGTGAGTTGAGTGAGTGACTGTATCAAAGATGGAGGGAGGGTAGAGGTTCAACGGCGGAGCCGGGTAGGGCAGAATTGACGTATGGAGATTACGAGGAGGGCACGAGGCGGATGCGTCAGGAAGAGGGTTTTCGGGAAATTAAGCAATTGGAGGTGAGTCTTTACTACAGAGGCATTCGAGCCAAAAACCGAATCCTGATAGGCGTTGCTCGCCATTCGCTTCGACTAAGAAGGATTCGCATCAGCCATGATATCCATAAGTGATCCATGCCTTAGTTACAGGGGGTGGAGAGAACAGGCAAAGAACTAAAACGGTACAGACTGGATTAAAAAAAAAAGGCACTAAACAACCTTGTTAAGGTACACCACCAGATGCGTGGAATGGCGTGTAAGACGAAGCCCAAGTTCAAGGGTGTGCGTCAACACGGCAGCCTCTTTTCAAGCGATATCAGATCCGAAATCATTTCTTGTTCATGACTGAGGCCTCTCCAGGTCGCGTGGTGCACCAACATACGTATTCTCACAGATATTCAAGGGAGAGACTGTACGTAAGGTACATGCAAGCTATCTTGGACCCATGACGGCGAAGGAGTCATACTCTGGAAACCTTGTAATCACCGACTTACAAACGTCCCCCCCCCATGGGGCTAATCTCAAAGTAATACATACATACATAGCTACATACATACCTTAGGCTACTACACTTCAGGTCGAGTACTGTACAGTAACACGTATGTGCCCACGTACAGTGACGACGTCACAGCTGAGAGATCGAAATACCTACTCTTTAAAGATAGGGTTGAGTTTCGTGTAATTAAAGGAATGTACCTGTTGCACGCGTCTCCTCTGTAAGCCCCCTGCAAACGTGCATTCGCAACAAGCCACGCTAATCATTATTTGCTTGCCATGAATGGTTCGAAACAGTGTAAGTTGGAGAAAGCCAATGGAACACTACCTAACTTGTGTGAAAAGCCGCGTTGCTAAGCCACCCGTCGCCCTGAACCTGAGAAGGGAAGGGGAGCAAAAACGGGAATGCGAGATATACGACGGACGGGGAGTAGGGCCTTGGGGCCACGAGGTAATGAAAAATAGTGGGACGTGCTAGAACGGGCCTTGTAAGGCAGATGTATCATGTACCTGTTCTTTGACGATAATCCTATTCATCTATAGAAACTGTAGGTAGGTACATCATGCCTGTGATGTAATATCCAACGTCTTCAACCAAGTCTATAGGGAGATATAGGCGTTTAATCGGATTTTCTAGGGAACAGAAAAGGCTCATCACGGATAATCTAGTCACAAGATACACTCTGCGATTCCGACCCGACATCCCCGGATCTTGCGTGCCGGATAATCATGGACAGGGATCCAGAGGAGTCATCGCCATTGCAACTACGGATATCTTAGCTGGAGCCAAATTTCAGTTGGAACGGGCCCGAGAACTTGGACACGTTTTAGCTGAGGTCATTTTACTGCACTGACCCAGCAAGTATCTCAGTGACACATACCACACCGTATGTTATGCTTGAGCGTTATGTATGGTTTAAGTTCCCTCCCGTCTTAACTACCAGGATCCTTTTGCCAAAGAGGGCTGCCTTGCGTAGTAAAGTCGTTGCCTCAAGGCTTCCGCATCATGGCCTGTCTTGGGCGTACGTACGTCTATACACGGATGCGATATGAGGACACGTTGTGATATCATCACGATCAAGTTGGCTCATCAGCCCTATGAACACGCACTCGCACAACATCCCTCAATGGGATCGTGGAGGGTCAATCCGTGCATCGCCGAACCAAGCAGTCGGTGAGAATAGGGACGAGATGAGTAAAGTAAAGGTATGCTACCTATTCTTGTCTCGAGACCACAAAACAATCGTAACGAGGCCAAGGTGGCTACGAGAAAACCCTCACGCTAGGTACATATATGTCTCTCAAAGGGCGCGCGTGATCTCTGAAGCCCAACTTGATCTGCCGTCGCTAGGAAATTCCAGGAACCTCAAACTTCATGATTATCAATCACGAGCCTCAGCTCGTCAGGGCTGCACTGTATCCGCGATACCGGATGATCGACGCTATACATACAGTATCCCATGCTTGGAGGCTGGAGCCCAGAACAACCTTAGCAGAAGCCAATTTTAGGCAGCCTCTGCAATGTTGCATCTCCCTGTGAAATTTAATGCCCCGGAGGTGGTTACGAACCCGCTCCCATTCGTCATAATTAGCTCTTGGCTGTCCATAAAGAATATGCCAAACAAAAGGTCCCTTGATCAAGCGGCGGTAGCTGAAACTCTAACACCGACAGTTGGGGGCCACCCTCTGACGATTCATTTGCTGATCATTTAGGCGAATGCGAGATATTCGCCAATCTGCGCAGACGTTGGTGAATTATCGTGAATTTCTTCATAGCAAGGACCAAGTAACGAACAATGAATGAACATTGATCCAAGAATTATGAGAGTGCTTCTTGGCATGCAATTGTATGAGACAAGGCTGTCATCAACGTATAAGTCTCAATCAGAAAAACCTCACCCAGTTAAGAATATCATATGAAAACAGTTCTGTATTATTGCACATACAGCCACCTCCGTTTCTTAGTCATGTGCGGAGATGCCATTTTCTATTTCTGTTTCCTGTCACATCGTGAAAGTGGCTGCATATACACCACCATCTTCAAATCAACAAACATGAAGCCAGTCAACTAGTGAGAGAACAACCATGTGAATGCCCACCATACATATGCCGTTATGTATTCAACATTAGTCGGAAGTGAGGGTATCCGATATGCAGTTATAATTAACCCACCTCTCAATGCATGTTGATACATCACTTGGGAGGCATCTAGTACAAGACACGGGTAGGGTACCCAGCTTCACTACCCCAAGAATATCAGTCAATCGAAGAAGAAGCTTAAAATAAAGAATCAGCATGATCCCCGCACAGCATGCTTCTTTTGTCAGGTGAATCACATAACAGGCGGTGCAGGGGATGAGGTTTGTATCAACGGGCGGTGCAGCATCAACACCGTTCATAATATGTTCAAATATAGAATTACGCACCTAAAGAGATTCAGTCATTGTAAATTATATCATGTGAACGTTTCGATGGTGATTAGAGGGCACGGCACAGTTGCATTAGTTTAGCATAGCCTACTGTTCTTTGGGGCTTTGACAATAAGACTTCCACGAGTTGATGGCTCACTACAGGAATTCGAAGGAGACTTCAATTGACGTTGAAGTAAGCTCCAGATTTACCGAAAATAAGACCCGGGATCTACGTCAAGAATAGCTTCTCTTTCTGCCTGCCAAGAGGTAAAAAATACACCAGGCAATAAGGCGTTGGTACTGAAACAATGCCTCAGGATGATATCTCCCATAATCGCTGACATAATGTTCATACAGCCTCTGCAAACGAATATGGCAAACCGATATACCAGATAGGTACGAAACAGACTTGATAATAGGCCACCAAGCCTCTTTTGCACATCAAAAGATATCCGAGGAACAGCACTTGAGTGAATCATGCTTTTGCTCAGCCATCCATAAACCCCAGTCATATCTGCTAAAACTACAGTTGTAAATGTACAAGTCGTGTCTTTGTCTTTTACACAACTATTACATATTGGCCAGCATCTCGGCCTCACGCTCGGCTCTTCGCTCTGCTGACCTCTTCTTGAATCGGACCTCGGCCCTTCTGCGCTCACCACCGTCGAGCTTGCGACCCTGGCGGTCCTCCCACATTCCTTCCGTAACCTTCACAATAGCTCCTGACGTTCCAGAGATGGGTTGGGCAAAAGGTCCGGCAATCGTCTCGTGGCCAACGACTCGATATCCGTTTGGTCGGAGCAGATATGAGCCAGTGTCTTTTCCACCCGCAGATTTCTTAACAGCCTTTCGAGGGGTCTTTTTATCAGGCGTAAAATCGTGGGGTACATTGACAACCCATTTCGTATCGCTGAGGGCCGAAGGAGGCGGTGTTGCGACCTTCAAAAGAGCCTGTCCATCCTTAACATATTCAAAGTCTCCGCCAGGGCCCAGAGAGCCCTTTCTATATCGTTGCATCCAATGCAAAAGGTACCTCCGGGTTCGGGGTGGTTCGATACCCAATTCCTTGAGTTCTGGCGAGGTGAGGGAGAAGAGGGCGTTCCATGAGGGGAACTTGTTGGCGTACTTGTTGAGGCCACGACCTATCAGGGTGAGGAAGGTCGGCACATCGGGAACGAATGGTCGGGGCTTGGGGATCGGGTGCGCAGGCCGTGTCTTGTGAAGTTGTCGGATCTGTCCTGTCCTTGAAAAGGCGCTGCCGCTCTGCAGAAGCAGGCCGAATGTTGACCTGACTCGTTCGCCCTTCATTTTCCTAGAAACTTGTATTAGAAAACATAGTTGATAGTATCAATTTCTATCATAAACTTACGCTGCTCAATGGGTCGAATGACACAAGTTCAGCCGCTACCTAAATCAACGAAGTCTCACAACCCGAACGTTGATCTCGAAATTTGACGATGGGTCTTCGTTATGTCAGCAAGGCTGCTTCTGTGGCTGATGCTCCTCAGAGTTGTGGCGCTGAACCCCTGCTTATCCTATGGTGCTCCACTTATATCCGACCAGGCTGATATCCCACCTCAAATGCCTACATGCTCCTCCTACCTTCTTCCCTCCTACATACTCGATTTCATGTTGAGCCATCTATAATATTTCGTGACCTCAAGTTTGGGGCATCTCCATCTACCAGCCATCAGTGGTAAATGATAACAAACATATAACATCAACCATGGCCCGCTACAAGGCCCGCTCCCGGCGTTCTACTGCCGAGGCGGTTCACTTACACGTTGGACTTGATGGTGAGTTAACCTTCGGGGTTTTTATTCACTCGCGCTCACACCTTTGACTTCAGATTTGGTGCCAACATCATTCGTTGAAGGGCTTATCAGTCTCATGATTTCTGAAAATGAAACTTCAGATCAACCATCATCGTCCCATGAGAATGGGCCACCTACGAAGCGTCGCAAGACGGACTCTTCATTAGCCTTGGGTGCTATACCTATCGCAAAGAAAGAATTTACTATTTCTCGCCCTTGCATGGGGTCCCCTTCAAAAAGTCAATCAGTCGTTTGTAAGAGCGTTGATCGCTACTTGAGCATTTGTTTTATGGACAATCGACTTCGCATGAAGTCGCGGAAGGATTGCCCAGGGGAACCGTTGGATGTCACTGTCAGGCTACGACGATCGGAAGAAGATGACCAGATGAAGATTTGTTCATTGGATAGCACCTCCAAGCGAGCGTCACAGCCAAATGCGCTATGGAGCACATTCGACCTGGAACTTGAGTGGCAAGGAAGGCAGGTTAAGATGACTTTCTGTCAAAACTTCTACTGGAATGAATCTCCATCGCCGCACTCTCAATACAGATCGTCCTCAGATCGCGGAAGCAGTCAGCGATTCATTAACTTGCTACTACGCGGCTCGATCTCAACATGCACACCTTATAGAACTTCAACATGGTCTCCCATGGACTTTTACGAGGCGGCCTTTGTCCCCCAAAAGGGCGAGAAAACACCTGAAACTATTGAAGTCGATGCTTTGGAATCGACATTATTTCCATACCAGAAGCGCACACTACAGTGGTTACTGCGACGTGAAGGAGTGCAGTGGTCAGCAGATATGCGACACATCGTCCCACACGTAACTGAGAATCAGGATAGCGTGTATGACTTCAAGAAACTGACGGATGTGGCCGGGAATGAGTACTACTTGAGCGAACTATTCCATGCGGTGACAAGAGATATTTCGCTATTCCGACAAGCTGAGGCTTCCATCAAGGGCGGAATTCTGGCAGAAGAGATGGGTCTTGGCAAAACATTGGAAGTTCTTGGCTTGATCTTGCTTCACCAGCGATCTCGGCCCTTGATTCAGAGTGAATATGAGTCCCAGGCCAAGCTGACGCCGAGTGGCGCCACCCTCATTGTGACACCCCCATCGTTAAAAGATCAATGGGCATCCGAAATTGCTCGTCATGCACCGGGCTTAAGTGTCAAAGTGTATGAGGGTCGGAAAAGGATATCGGAAGCGGACGAGCAGAAGGTCACAGATGAACTTGCTGGCCACGATATTATTCTCACAACATACTCTGTACTGTCCTCTGAGCTTCACTTCGCGACAGCACCCCCAGAGCGTTCACGGCGGCACGCACGAGTTTATGATCGGCCCAAGTCCCCCCTCGTGCAAATCTCGTGGTGGAGAATATGCCTTGACGAAGCTCAGATGATCGAAAGTGGTTATAGCCAGGCCGCGAAAGTGGCTCGTATTCTTCCTCGAATAAATGCGTGGGGTATCACTGGAACTCCGGTGAAGAATGACGTTGAGGATCTTCAGGGTTTGCTCCTTTTCCTCCAGTACGAGCCCTATTGTTCTGTGAATCAAATATGGCAAGATCTGATCCGTCATCACAAATCTGTCTTCCAGCGTCTATTCAACAGAATCGCTATTCGACACACAAAATCAATGGTTAGAGATGAGTTGGTTCTGCCATCCCAGAAACGCTTTGTCATCAGTATGCCCTTTACTGCCGTTGAGGAACAGCACTACCAGTCCCTTTATCGAGAAATGGCGGAAGCGTGTGGGCTCAGCCTCGAGGGAGCGCCAATTGTGGATGACTGGAAGCCTGAGGATCACGAAGAAGACATGAGAACTTGGCTGGTTCGACTCAGGCAGACTGCGCTGCATCCTGAAGTTGCAGGTTATAACCGCCGAGCTCTCGGCAACAGCAAAAATCGGCCCATGAGGACCGTTGACGAGGTTTTAGATGCTATGCTAGAACAAAGCGAGAGCGCGATTCGATCAGATGAGAGAGCCTATCTATCCAGTAAACTGACACGAGGTCAACTATACGAAAACAGCCCCCGAGTAAGGGAGGCACTGGAAATATGGTTATCAGTACGAGACGAAGCTCGAAAACTTGTTTCCAAAGCCCGTGATGAGCTCAAGTCTTTGGCTGTGTCAAAAATTAGACCCACCAGTCACGAGGACTCTGACATCGATGATGATTCTGAAGTTGAGGAGAAAGGTCAACTGTTTGAAAGTCGAAGACGGCTTCGTGGAGCATTAGAGATGTACCACAGGGCCGTCTTCTTTTGCGCGAATGCATACTTCCAGATCCGCGAAAATCCAGAAATGACTGAGCCCGAATCCGAGGAGTTTTCGCGTATTAAGAAGTTGGAAGACCAGCACTATGAGGAAGCAAAGGCTATTCGAAGGGAAATCCTACAAGAGCCTCACCACAAAGCAAGCCGTCTTATGGCGAAGGTGGCACAGAAAGCATCCGAACAATCCTTTGTTGAGATTCCGGAGCTCACAGTTAATGAGGAACGAGGTATCGAGAGCAGTCGCATTGTCGACGATCTAGAAGCATTGTACAACGAACTGAACGACCAAGCAAATGTCATTGATGAATGGAGGGAACACCTAATCGGGCTGGTTCTGAAGCCTTTGATTGATGAGGAAGACGATGCCGAAACCACTGGAGATGAATACGGCGAGTCAGCGAAAATTCAAGATGAGCTCATGGTTTATGTTCAAGCTCTTCGAGCTATCATTGCTGATCGACAGGATGCTTTGACTGGACAGACTAACGAACTGATCAAGCACGAAACACAAACGTCGCTGAGACTTGCAGCCAACGAAGAAGGGCCTGCTCCCGAAAAGCTTATTGAGCTTCTTGCATTACGAGATCAAATTAAGCCACGATCAACCTCGATGCGGAAAGCTATCAGCGAGTTTCGAGGCTTAACATCAAAGCTGGCAAGGGACACCACACGAAGCGTCCTAGAAGGTAGAATTGCAGATCGACAACTCAAAGCAACGCAATCAATTTTGAACACACAGAGCAAGCTTACTACTGCTCTCGAGGCCGAGGTCGACAAGTTCAAGAACATCATGAACCTCCGCCTGGAGTATTATCGCCAACTGCAAGTAGTCTCTGACAGTGTCCTTCCTTACGAGGAACCTGTCACTGAAGAACTCATGACGAGGATGAAGACGACTGAGGAAAATATGCGGCAAAGGCTGTCTGCAGCAGAAGCTAAACATAGATACCGTGAGTTATACACCCCTTGTTATTTGACCCGAAACTAACTTTCCAGTCCTCCACCTCAAGGAAGCAGGAAACAAGTCGAACGAGCCGCGAATGTGCGTCATCTGTCAGACCAATTTCACTATTGGTGTTCTCACGGTCTGCGGGCATCAATTTTGCAAGGAGTGCATGATGTTGTGGTTTAAAGCTCACCACAATTGCCCAGTGTGTAAGAGAAAGTTGAAGTCATCCAACTTGCACGATATTACTATCAACCCTCAGCAACTCAAAGTGCATAGCGATGACCCAAACCAATCTCAAGATGGCACGGAGAATAGCTCTGAGCAAAAACAAACCGATTCGCCAAAGAAAACCGGGATCTACTCCGAATTCAACTCAGACAAGCTGGCTGAGATACAGAAAATCGAGCTGGACGGGCCTTCATTCACCACGAAAGTCGACACGCTTGTGAAACATTTGATGTGGCTACGAGAGTCTGACCCTGGCGCTAAGTCAATTGTATTCTCGCAATACAAAGGATTTCTGGGGATTTTGCGCAACGCTTTCTCAAGATTTAGGATCGGCTATGCCTCTATTGACGACCCTGATGGCATCAAACGGTTTAAGGAGAACGCGTCCGTCGAGTGTTTTCTTCTTCATGCTAGGGCGCATTCTAGTGGCTTGAATCTTGTCAATGCAAGCCATGTCTTTCTCTGTGAACCTCTCCTCAACACCGCGCTCGAGCTTCAGGCAATTGCACGTGTTGACCGGATTGGCCAAATGCACGAAACAACTGTATGGCTCTACCTTGTGTCAGGGACAGTTGAGGAGTCGATTTACAATCTTTCGGTCCAGCGGCGAATGGAGCATATGGGACGTGTCAATAAGGGCAAGTCAAAGGAGTCGACACCCGAACTTCTCGACGCGAATATTGAGGCAGCCAACACTCTGGAACTTGAGCAAGCATCACTGTCACGGTTGATGAGTAAGGATAAATCGGCAGGTGAGAACGTTGAAGAGAATGATTTATGGGAATGTTTGTTTGGGCATATTGCTCGCAAAGACACTGGGCCCGAAAAGGATATCAGACTTCAGGAAAAGGCTGTCATGGGTTACTTAGCAGCAGAGGCAGCCGAAGAGAGAATGGACAGGAACAATTAGATACCATGATCATGATATGGAGGAATGGATTTGGCGCATGGGTTAGCATTCACGACAAATCCCTATATGCGGCGCAAGGATTGGCAACTATGGTATCTCATTTGTGGTTTAGATCAGGGTTTCATCATGGATGCAACGACAATGCTAACGATAAAGTGCACAGAGACTATGGATCATGTCTCGTGGCAATGTGTGGGAAAAGCATGCCATTTCCCCAATGCTCGTTTTGATACATATAATATACAACAGATACTTGTGGCTCATGGTGTCCCTTGATCCATTGCCATGCGACGAGTCAGATCGTTTCTCATGATACCCAACCCCTAGTCTACCCAGGCATGTACGCCATGACCCTCGAAGCTCAGACATGGTTTCGTCACAAAATACAGTGCGCACGTGCGCAACATGTCGAAAAGAAGATATCTCTCACTTCCTTAATCGACTCGCTTGGCCTTGGCGCTGGCGCCAGACTTGACGCGACGGGCGACAGGGCGGTTGATGTGGTGGTCAGGGATCCAGCTCTCGTCGTAGTCCTTTCCAGAAGCGACGGCAACGGGGGTAGACTCGGAGCCGGAGAGAGGCTCAGCAACATCGATGGTCTTCTTGGCCTTCTTGTTGGTACGGGGTCGCTTAGCCTGGGGGAAGAGAGCCTCGATCCAGGTCTTGTAGACGAAGTAGAGGGTACCGGCGAAAGCAGCAGAGAGGAAGAGGTAGAGGAAGATACTGCAAATATTGTTAGCTTGCGATTGGTTGAGACGTTTAAGGGAGTGCATACATCTGGGGGTCAAGGAAGCTGGTAGGAGCCTCGACGATGGAAGCAGGACCGTTGTGAACCAAGACCTGGTGGAGGTTGCCAGTGGAATCAGTGACGACAGCGGAGAGCTCAACGCGGACCTCCTGGGGCTGCATGTCCTGGGCGAAAGAGAAAGGAAGCTCCTTCTTCTCGCCGGCAGGGACCTCAATGTTGTACTGGACAGAGGTCAAGTTGCGCACGATGCTGGCGTAGCGGGGGCTGTCCTCGGGAAGCTCCTTCATGGAGTTGAGAGAGCCAGCGACAAAGGCGACATTGATAGCATTGGCATCCTTGTTGTTGATCTCGATGACAGCCTTGGTAGGACGACCGTTGACGAGCTTGACACCGAGAATATCAGCTTCGGGGAAAGTAGCCTTGATATCAGCATTGAGAGGAGCCTTGGGAGCGGCATTGGCTTCAGGAGCGTCCTTTATTGGAAGTTAGCAATTGCAGGAGGGGAGATGAAGCTGTCGCGCGACACGAACCTGAGCAACAGCGCCAAAGACCTGAGCAGCCACGAGGGCGAGCAGAGAAGCCTTGAAGAACATGACGACGAGAAGATGAAGGGGAACCTATAGAGAAGACACCGACGAAGAAGATTGGGGGAGGGAGATGAAGAGAAGAAGAGAAGAAGACGCTGGTGGAGATGATGGAATATGGGGGAAAACAGGTTGGGCAGTGGGTGACAAGACAATCTGGCCTCTGGAGGCGAACGGAGGCGAATGGAGCAAGGGGCGGAGGGGTGCTGCTGTGGAGAATCAATTGAGATTGGTTCGAGACTTGAGGCTCTAGGGGATTATAGTGGGGTAGACGCTGAAGCTGGAGCTGTTTTAGGGGTTTGGTGGCTGTGACGGGAGCTGGAGCTATGAGCTTGGACCAATGGCGTTATTGGATCTGGAGCTGCGCCGTTTTGAATTGAGCTTATCAGTCTTATTACCAAGGTTGAAACCAATTCTGACATCAACCATCATGTTACATAGCGATAATAGTTGATTGACTTGGCGACAGATCGGTAATCGGTGAAATGTGGAGTCTTCCGGTGCCTTCGCCGGGTGGCCTGCGATATGACCCGGCCCCGCTCCGGGTTGTTATCAGATATCGTTGACTTCAAGGGTATTTCATCAGCCGGGCAAGTATAAGTCAAGTAACTGAATGAATAGTTAATTGCAAAAGATGACTAAAATGATTATGCTATGAGGATATGCCGCTCTTGATCTTTTAAACGCTCCAAAATATGCAAGTCTATAATCATGTTTATGCCAGTGTATGTTCAGCTTTCTAAACTGGTGAATCTTCGGTCTTTTCGGTCTGCTCAACTTCTTTTGCTTTCTTCTCCCACGCTTCTAGTGGTGGAGGTTGAAATAGCTGGCCGTTCAGGCTCGCCCTGATCGTCCCACACGCCACCATAACCCACAACAGGAACTCGGCAACAGAGAATATCGTCCCCAGCACTTTGAAGAACTTGGAAGGGAGCTCCTGAGCAAGTGTCGTGGTCGCAACTGTGAACACCCCAAGGGGGAAGGTAAACGCCCACCAAGTGAGGTTAAAGGTGATTTGACGTCTGATGATTGTGGCGAGAGCAAAGAAGAGCCAGACAACAGCGAACCCCCATAAGATGAGAGCAGTGAGAATGCCAGTCAGGTAAAAGAACTGACCCGCGATGGGAGCCTTGGGGATGAAGTCGTTTCTAGCAAAGAGTTTGAGAGAGACTTGGCCGAGGAGTTGGATTGCTGCTGCGCCCATACCGAGAGGGCCGATGGCGATGAACGATGCTACAGCAACTTGGCCGGGAAGGATGTCGTAAATCATAAGACGGTGGTAGTACATGGCGAGAATGACGATCGCCATTGGTACGCTAGTTCCCCAGAGGATGTAGCTTGTAATGACGGTCCATATGGCGTGTTGGTCGTTGGGGAGAACGTTTGCTACGATGGCTCCAGAGGTGGAGGCAACGATATCGGCAATGACGGGGAAGAGCCAGGAAGGGTTTACTTGATCAAGTGTGGTCTCTTAAGCGTGAGCATTGACACATCAGTACTGGAATTAGTGATTGACTTACACCTTCTGTTCGCATGATACAATGCGGTATGTAAAGACTGCAAGCAGTGGCCATAACAACATCTATCCACCAAAGAGCCCATGCAAAATTGGCAGCCCAATCACCCCAGGCTGGAACACACACAAAGACTATCATGTTGATAATGGTAGCGAAGCCAACTGGTATGGTCCCTTGGTCAATTGTCAGCTTCAATTGAGAACAATCGATCACATCATGACGAATGCGTACCAAGAGATACAGCCTGTGCCGGATGTCGTAACGTTGAATACCATATCCCTTTGAAATACGTATATCTGATAATAGATATACAGCTAAACAGAGTGAACAACACTATGTTTAGACAAAATATTACACAAGAGACGTAGAATAGCCATCGGCCGTGGTAGGGCAGGTTATGAAGCAGAACAGACGTAATTCCAGTGCCCATCGTCACTGTGAACCACGAGGGAGTGAAGTTGACAACAATGCGACGCCATCCTCTTCGATTCTCTCGATATTTATCGTGCTTGAGTTCTTCCGGATTCGTTGGTGCCGCGGGAGCTGCTATGTCGGAACCTGGGTAAGTGACCTCGCTAGAATCTAGGTCTGGTAGATGATCTGAGGGTGTTGGTGTGGAACTCATAGTGAGATCAACTGAGCAAACAAGCCAAAAATGTCTTGACAACCAGTGTAAGCCACTGAATAGAGAGAAAGGTCACGTTTACTTAAATAGAGTGAAAAGAACTAGTAACTAATTGACCAAAGTTAAGAGACAACGTGACGTCGCGGAATCGGCACCTCGGCCAATGCCAATTTTCGACCCACGACTCGTCGTCATGTTTTTCTTCCCTACAAACCAAACCAACTCATGCCATTGCCACGGACTGGACGCGCTCTCTTTATAGGATTCCCGCGGAGACGTCTGAACTCGTCTAATGCCTAGTCCACAACCGCATGATGCTCAATTGGGGTTGTCTTTGCTGAGCATTACCTCTTTGTGTAGGATTTGGTTGCTCGACCTATAGCGTGTCGTACCTGTTAGTCATAGGAACTCAAACGTCAGTTCATGGGTCTAAGGCGAAACATTCAGATGACTATACTGTTGCATTGGTCCTTCAAAACTTGAGACTATTATCGTACGGACATAGAGTAGATAGTATGTTTTTTTTTTTGGTCCTTTTTATATAGTCTTCGGCAGTATTTGTTGTTACATCGGAGAATTAGATCCCTACGTCAAAGCAAGCCACCTCCGCAAACCACTGTCTCTCTAACAACAGCCATTGCCGTCCCAATTGAACTCTAATTGTATCAGAAATTGCTCTCGTAATTCAAGACCTCATCTTATTTTCTATATCCCGAAGCGCCTTGATCAGACCCCCTTCGCATAAGAACAGCAATTGATAGCAGAACGTCGCTTACATCCATCATCCATATTCCGTATCCTGGTTCGCTTCAAAAGTTCACCTAACCCCATAACAAAACACTAACTCAAAAATAAAACAACGTGATGTGATCTCTCATTGATCAGAAACCATGTCCTCCAATGTGACTGTTGTACTTGGGTGTCACGTAACCAGGCATAGAATCCCTCTCCTCCACCGCCAGATGAGCACCAGCGATGCGCAGCAATTGTGCACAAGGCTCCTGGCCTGACTTGACAGCGACAAACAGAGGCGAGTGATTGGCCTTGTTACGCTCGTGGACGCTGGCGCCCCGCTGTAGCAGCTCAAGGAGGATCTCGGTTCTACCGGCCACCGCGGCGAGATGCACCGCTGTGTTTCCTGCGTAGTCTGACTGCTTGAGGAGTTGAGCGCCTTCACCCTGCAGCAGTTCCTTGACGAGCCCCAATTCGCCATTCTCAATCGCGTATCCGAGTGCCGAGAATGCAGTCTCGCTTGGCGTAAGATGGGATGCGGCAAAGTCGAGTGAGCCGGAGGGGTGAGAGAAGCTTTGGTGGGCGATCTCTGTCATCTCACCACGCAGCGACCGGGAGAGCTTCTCCTGAATTTCCTTGACCGAGAGGTTTGGCTGGGCGAGTAGATAGGAGACTTTGGTGAGTGCCGCCTCTGCTGTTAGGTCGAGCCCAAAGATGACACCAGCTCGGCCGAGGACAGTGCCTGGGGCATAAACGGGAGATACAAAGCCATTAACACATTGGCTAACATTGACAACGACAATGCCACGCTCAACAGCCGCCTTGATGATCTGCGTCAGACGGCCCTCAGCACCGCCAGGGATGTTGCCCATGCCAAATGTCTCAAGAATAAGACCACGGATATCGGGCAGGTGAAGTACAGCGTCGATCATCTCAGGCTTAATGCCCGGAAACACGCGCAAACAGGCAACATGAGTAGTGTCAAGACCCTTTGTAACATGAAACTTGGCAATCGAGGTTGGTCGTAGGACAAGGGGCCAATTAACACTGATGCCGAGGCCATTGACCTTGGCGATGGGTTCGCAGTTGGGACTGGCAAAAGCCTCGAATTCCGTTGCTGAGACCTTTGCGCTGCGGTTTCCACGGTAAAGGCGGTGATGAAAGAACAGGCAGACTTCAGGAATGGTGAATGTTCCGGCGATGATGAGTGATCCCAATAGGTTGTCGACACCGTCGGATTGAAGTGCAAAGATGGGCGCCTGAGAGCCAGTAAGGATCACGGGCTTGCCTAGGTTCTCCATCATAAAGGAGAGCGCAGAGGCCGTGTAAGCCAGAGAGTCTGTTCCGTGCAGGATGACGAAACCGTCAAAAAGATGATAGTTTTCTTGAACACACGAGGCCATGGCGTCCCAATCATGGGCGGAGATGGAACTAGAGTCTAGTAGTGGGCTAAACTCAATGATGCCATAGCGGACATGGCGGTTGTATGCTGTAGCAGGAGTGCGAAGACTATCAATCTGGATCTTTTCTCCATCACGAACTGCTGGGAGTGTATCTGGATGTCCGTCAGTAAGGGTCATCTAGAGTAGTATTTGTCTCTCTCTTTTTTCCCCCCTTGCTGTCAGGCTTATATAAGGCCATTAAGCTTCTAGCTTCTAAAACAAAGGCTTAAACAATGGTATTTTCTCATACCTGGGTTTGAGAAGTCATTGAACGATGGGCGAGGAGCCATAGCATTCTCCAAGAAGTTGTCTGTTGGCTGAAGACCATCAGGGCCTTGCTGCATACAAATCGTTCCTCCTGTACCAATGATAAGGACCCGAGACTCGGGATAATTGGTCTCGGGAGCTTTCAAGGCAGGAGAGCCATGAGAGCCAGTCTCGCTCATTTTGAAGGTGTTGAAGAAGATGTATGGGAAGTGATTGACCTGATAGTCTGGCAATTGATATCGGTGATAGATAAGATAGCGACTCAGTCAACGCATCAACGATTGCACTGCACTTTGAACAGAAGGACTATTTCGAATAGAGATGAAAAAGAAGAATAAATCACAATCAAGATGAGGAGAAGTGAAAATTTATTTGCAGCAGGCGCAACGTTAATATGTAAGTAGGTACGTAGGCTAGGGAGGAAAGAAAACCCAGGACCTCGATCCCAAATGACAAAAATACTTAGGTAATTGAGCATAAATTTAGGATATTTTTATCAAGTCTAGGGCATAGTTACTAATCTTAGGATGACCTTTGCTAAATTTATTTTGACACCCTACAGTAAGGTTCGCTGTTTTTTTGCCCCCCAAGGGTAGGCAGGTAAACTAAACCTTGTGGACAAAGAAGCCATCAAGTGGATCCTATCGAGGTTATGAAGGGGTAACAGAAACTCGATATCTCGCGGGGACTGGCGAGTAAGAGGCGATGATGTTTGGTGTATGCGATAGCCCACGGAGACTAAGCATTAAAGAGGAAAACTATTGGTGTGAAATCAAGGCCTGGAGTTGCACTGCTTGGTTGTCCTAAGCATTTTGATTACTGAATTGGTTAATGAGAAAAATGGGATGTGGTATCTCTGGTCTGGTGTTGATGATCAGTAACAAGTGGCAGGTGATCAAGAGGATGTTTTCACGGTGAAGAGAGACTAGATTAATCGAGGTAGACCAGATTGATATTCATTGAGCATATCCATTATATCTAAAACTAAACTCACAAGTGACCTCATTAATAATCCCGATATCCCATCTATTACCCCAGATATCAACATCTCCAAGACGCGGGGAGAATGAATAATAATCACTGGCACTGGCCATTTACTTTCCTTACCTCCAGTACTTACTGAACGTCCATGGGTTGGGCTGCATTTTTCGACACATCTTCTATTGGCAAAGGCTAGAACAATGTGGATTCCCTTCTATTTTGATGCTTCACAGCACTACCTAGCGGATACAATGGAGAGCGACCTCCGATTACGGGGCCCTACACTAACAGGGACTTAATCAATACATCGGGTTCACAACGAATGCAATCAAGGATACTAACTTTAATAAATTAATGATACTCCCAAGATCTTGATGAGGCCCGGACTGTCAATAGATATGGTTAGACGAAACTTTCCGTGATATCCATGCTGTCTATGTTAGCATAGGCAGCAAGCTTTCACATGCCCAAACACCAAGCAACATGCTCCAGCCATAATATCAGGTAAACGGGCTTCAGTTGGATTATATAATGGGGTCCGGCGTGTATCGGTCAATTCAATATACAGACCAAGTATGACGTATGCTCCAAGATCACAATCATCTTCTCGCTGCAAGACAATCGCCAAAAAAGTGAGAGAATCTCAACAATGACGATCATAAACCCAGATGATAAAATGGATCCAACAAACGCAAACGCAAGGGTCTTCAGGTACGTACCCCCGCAACACCCATCCCTTCTCGTGCCGCTAAGCCTCTTCTGTGCATTCTGCCACGTTCTAGGCCTGACCGCCTTCGTGCGTCTCTCTAAACTCTCGTCTTGGCCTTATTGAAAGTGCATTGATTGTCCTTGACAATCAACCAACAAAAAACATCTATAATAGAAAACTCCGCTCACTCTCCTTTGCAAATACAAGCGCCGACTCTTCGACTCCTCCTTAGACATCAACCCCAAAGCGCCAATCCTTACTCACACTTTTCCCGATGATTCACGATTAAGAGGCGATGCGAATCTTGTGAGAAGCCTCCCAGCCTCACTCACTCTTTCGACACGCGCATCGTCAACTCAACTCTTCGAGCAACCAACGCCACAGATAAAATGTCAGACTCGACGCCTGATGGCACTTCGCCTCGAACCTTTGCGCTCAACCACTTGAGGCCAAAATCAAGTTTCAAGGGATGCTCCCGTATTTCCGACTATGAATTGCTAGGCAAACTGGGAGAGGGAACCTTTGGGTACGAACCCCTTGGTCGGCGCATATGTCGTCGATCATCGCGACCGAACAACGATCGCATATACTAACGGAAGTTCAGTGAGGTTCACCGTGCCCGCTTGCGCAAGACCGGCACCCTTGTCGCCTTGAAAAAAATCATCATGCATCATGAAAAGGATGGCGTACGTCGATTCACCACCCCGCCCAAGAACTGCACTGACGATGATCACAAGTTCCCCATTACCGCCCTTCGCGAGATTAAGCTTCTCAAGCTCTTGTCGCACAAGAACATCCTGAGGCTCGAGGATATGGCCATCGAGCACCCAACCAGACAGAGTGAGTGGACACGACTGCTCCTTGGTTGATCCAACTGACCACCCCATTCAGCCGATAAGCGCAAAAAGCCCATCGTATACATGGCCACTCCCTATATGGATCACGATCTCTCCGGTCTTCTCGATAACCCCTCAGTGCATTTCAAGGAGCCTCAAATCAAGTGCTACATGCTGCAACTGCTCGAAGGCCTGCGATATCTCCACGACAGCCGCATTCTGCACCGAGACATGAAAGCTGCCAATCTGCTCATCAACAACCAAGGTATCCTTCAGATTGCCGATTTCGGTCTCGCTCGACATTACGAAGGAGATGTTCCCAAGGCTGGCCAAGCCTATGGCCCAGGAAGGCGAGATTATACTGGTCTGGTGGTAACTCGATGGTACCGACCACCTGAGCTTCTGCTACAATTACGGCAATACACCCCCGCTATTGACGTTTGGGGAGTAGGGTAAGCGTTGTTCTGGAATCCCCGATTCTTCTTGTTTCTAACAATCAATGTAGCTGTGTATTGGGCGAGATGCTCTTCGGAAAGCCCATTCTGGCTGGCGAAAGTGACGCACATCAGCTGGACATGATCTGGGACTTGATGGGATCTCCTAATGAAGACAATATGCCTGGGTGGAAGCAGTTGCCTGGTGCTGATCATCTATCCCCTCGGCCACGAACTGGCAACCTCCAGAACAGATTCAGAGAGTAAGTCTTCATAGAACAATCTTCAAGGTCCAATCACTAATTCCGTTTTTAGGTACGGCTCGGGCGCAGTCTCACTATTGAAAGAACTTCTTAAACTGGACTGGCGGACACGAATCAACGCAGTGGACGCCCTACAACACCCATGGTTCAAGATGGCGCCTCTACCGTTAGAGCCCCACGAGATCCCTGTTTACGAAGAAAGCCACGAGTTAGATAGAAGAAAGTTCCACGACCGTAAGGCTGCCTTGCCCCCTGCCCCCAAAGGTGGGACTGTAGGTATTGGCCCAGATGCGAAGGGTGCCACAGCGGGCTTCAACAGCAATGAGCCTTACGGAAATGGCCGGAATGGTGTGAACGGGGGCAGATATCGCAACGGACCAGATGAAAGGCGTCCAGCTTGGCAACGAGATCGGGGCGCTGGGTTACCGCCACGACCGCCTCCGAACGACGACGTGGACTATCGTGAGCGAGGACCCCCTCGTGGGAGAGGAGCACCTGGGCCAAGAGCCCCAGATGTCGACACGTACATACCCGCCTATAACCGGGATGATCCAGGCCGACGGAGGGACGACCGCCCTCCACCACCACCCAGAGATGACCGTCGGCGACGCAACAGCAGAGAAGACCGACGCTACGATAGAGACCGTGGCACCATCAGCCGCAGTAGGTCACCCAGGCATGATCGGTCAAGAGATCGAGACAGGCAAGAACGTGATAGGCCAGAGCGGGATGCATACCGGAGATAGGATCCAGCGTCAGCGATACCGCCTCACGTGTACACAGGTCACAAAGTGAGCAAGGATCCAGTACCACGTCGAGGAGGGACGAGACTAGGAGGTGTATAGTACAGGCGTTTGAAGGCGAACAACCGGGATTAATCACATGTCGATTCGGGCATAGCAGGACATGGCGCAACGGATTGATACGACCCAAGTAAACAAGTAAGGAAGAAGAAGAAGAATATCCTTGGAAAGGCTGAGTGTCTAGTCCAGCATTATTACATGAGCGGCGCATGATATCAGAGGATTCTAGCAGGTTGATCCTCTCGTCTAAGCACATATATTATGGGATTATCCATAGCGTAGAAGTTTGCAGCTGAGGTTTGATGTACTATAGTACTTATAAATGATCAATACTCTGAATCATCATCGTCCTCCTCGTGAATGGTTTGTGATAGTAAGCCACCTGGCCGGCGCCTTTGACTGGAGGAGTCAAGCCACTGCCAGTCGAGCTCAGTGCCTGAAGATTGCGAATCCCGTCGACTGCTGGTCCCGAGAAAACTGCCCTTAGAAGTTGACCCCCCTGAGTCGACATCCTCGTTCTGCATTCCTAGGTAGGACGTGATGATGGATGAGAATATGGCCAGGCCGATGCCAGTCAAGATGCCGACGCCAGCTGCAGCACCAAACTAGAAGTTGTTAGACAGAGATTCTTCCACATGAGTGTTGGCCTTACAAAAGTATATAGCGGCTATAGAATGTTAGCTTAATCTCAACCCAACTCAAATTGATGTTACCACATACCTCTAAGCTAGCCAGAAACACCCATACAGAGCGTACGCCAGCAAGTGTGTAAGAAACAAGATAAATAGCCGGTGCAAACACGACGAGAAGAATATTGAGCAGAAAAGACAGCGGTATGAGAATTAGGCGGAAAGGAAAGCTGATTATAGTGAAAAGCCGTGAGAAGAAGCCTGACCAGTTGAAGGAGAAGAGGAAGCTGAAGACAGCGACAACGATGTCGAATGCGAGTATGAATGGGGAGACTGTGGGTGAGGCCTGCTCTGATGTTGCTGCCACGATTGTGGAAGTTGGGGGTGATGACTCGGACATTTTGGGTAGAAGAGGTTGTGGTGTTGATGGTGAGTTGGGTGAGGTTGTCGATAAGGGAGGGAGGATTACATCACTACAGATATGGAAGAGTGATAGGGGTTCAACAAGGGAACTCAGTATAGTAATGTGCTTAGATGAGAGTACTCTTGGGAGGTTTTTTGGGTTAATTAATGAATGTACTGTACTAAGTCAAGGCATGTTACAATTCAGAGCTCCCTTGAGCTGTTGTAGATTGTGGAGGTAGAGGAAGCTCAAGTCTTATCGAGATGCAATCCATTGGGTGGTTGGCTTGCCCGAACAGCTCTCAGTGGATACCTCATATCTAGCTTGTCTGTTGGTGTTAGTGCTGGCCAGCTAGTGACTTGAACAATGGGCCTTCAGATGCCCTGAACAGAAGTACCTAAAGACTGTCACCTATCAGCCTCCCCACCACGATTCAACATCCCACCCGTTCTCTTAGGTTCCCTTCATCCATTTCCATCATCGATCAATCTCTCAGGCCCATCCATCTCCACCCCCGCGACCAACGACAAACAAACTCAACGAAACGACCAAATCCAAAAACAACAACAACCCTTCTTTCCCAGTGAACGCATCTAGGTCGACGATATTTTGGACACAAACATACAAAACGAACAAAAGCGTCGATTTCATCAGCGACACCAAATATATTGCATCTGAATCATCATCACGCTACACAAGGACCCCGGATTTCGCACCAAACCCTGCCGTGCCGCGTCAGGCCGTTTCTCGCTCGTCCTCCCTCTTCTGACCTTGACGTTCAATTGGCGCTGAGAGCGCACGTATAATTCTTCCCAACAGTCGACGAGATCTGCATCATCGAGTTTGACATGCCGTTTGTCATATTCCCGATAAGATACCGATAATCCGACCTTACCCCCCAACGCGAGCGCCATCATCACCAAGATCACACCCTCAAGTCGCAGAGCACATCCCTCAGAAGGGAGTAGGAGGTAGTAAACATGGGTAACAACCCGTCTTCGTCCTCCAAACCGACCACGCCGACGACCTCGGCTCCTGGTTCGGCCCACGGTCATCATCATGGCCATGAATCTCCCCGACATCATCTCCGAAAAGATGCCCGCAATATCATCACCGGTCACGCGCATCGCTCTGCCGCGCCTCCGGAGCCTTCTATGGCGCAAGCCCAAGGCTCAACCGTCATCAATCGACCCAAGAGCTTGCCCCCTACCGCTGTCTCGTCTCTGAGCGGCTCTCCTCATAGCAACTTCGCCGCTGTTCACAAGACTGCTTCTTCCTCGGATGCTAAGGGCATTGCTGAGAAGCATGCAGCTGGAACTCCTGAGCCTAAGCCTGCCGAGAGCAAACCCGCCGAGTCTAAACCTCAGTACCGCGACGAACCTACCAAGCCTGTCGATGTGCCTATGGAGTCTTCCTCTCTTCGATCACACCAATCCGCTCACGTAAATGACACAGCTCTTATTCCCAATAGCAGCATCACAGACATGTACCTGACTAGACCCCCGCGCTTGCCCCTCCCTATCGATGAGGAGGTTCACACCCCTGGATCACCTATCTTGGCGCCAGAGTCAGATCTGTCGATACCTGATATTGAGCCTATTGACTCGGACACAATCACTCGCAAGAGCTCTGCCCTCAGTGCTACTACAGTCGATGAAGAGGATGGTGAGGAGCTGCGGGTTGATAAGACGAGACCTGTCGTTCAGACCAAGCTGGAGTGGCTGAGCGGAGGTGACAAGGTTTATGTGACAGGTACCATCTTTCAATGGAATCGCAAGCAACGATTGCATCCCATGTAAGTGCCATGATGTTATTTATCCTTTCCTGCTCTGAGACACGGGTCGATCACTACGTCGTCTGTGTTTCCGTGGCTGCTTTGTGGTCTCAGATGACTGTCGCACACGATTCGTCCGGCCTGCGATAAGGATATGGCTCATATGGAGTCGAGATATAGTTGCTGACATATAACCTATCTAGCGAGGGTCGTCCTGGTTGTTTCTCGACAACAGTCTATGTTCTTCCAGGTACACACCATGTCCGCTTCCTGGTGGACGGTATCATGCAGACGTCTCCTGATCTGCCAACCACCGTCGACTTTGGCAACAACCTTGTCAACTATATCGAAGTGAGCCCCGACGATGCTCACAAGAAGCAAGTTCCTGCACCTCCTGCCGGCCCTCAAGCCGAGGTTCAAGTTGCTCCCGCTGCTCAGACAGTCTCACAAACTCAGGAGAAGGCCGCGAAACCGCCGCCCCAACCAAAGGGCAAACCTGTGCCCCCTCCTGAATCGTATCGAAGCCAAATTCCACAGTACCTCGTGGACTTTGACCAAGCCGAGGATTCGCAAGCGTATCAGTATGCCGTCAATGCCATTGAGAGGCTACCAAATCCTCCTGCGCTACCGGGTTTCCTGAGCAAACCTATCTTGAATGCGGCGACCCTTATGAAAGATGACAACAGTGTGCTCAACATGCCAAACCATACGATTCTGAATCATCTTGCCACGAGCAGCATCAAGAATAACATTCTTGCTGTTTCAGCTACTACTCGGTACAGAAATAAGGTACGTCTGCTATACCAAGTGCCAAAAGGATGATGCTTACTTGATGCAGTATGTCACAACAATCGTCTACAAGCCCACATCCTCAGACGATTGATAAGACACGATGGACGAACATAATGATTGGGCCATGAGTCAGAACCCCTTATGCCTTGGGCCTGCTTTCAGACATGCGGGCTCGAGTTACGATGTGATGTTGAATGCTTGCTATGTATTAGAGGTCTGGGAGATAAACAAGGATTGGCTGTCTAGTATTCTTAGTTTTGATGGAGGAGCAGTGGCGATGAGTTACATAGGGATGGCGACATGAGCTGAGAATAACGAGGGATGTCAGGGATTCTTGGCGCCATGATGAAGCTGGTGCGAAAGCTCATGGATTAGCTTCAGCAAATACATATAAACATATTTAACCATGACAACGTCTTGCGATCTTGTTCTTTCTTATTATTTACTGAAGAGTTCAGTCTCTCCATTTGATAAAGACCTCATCGGTTCTGAATCTCTGTGTACATGTACTCTCTTCCAATGATGTCCTGAACCCTGTCTCATACGCCAACAAACCAGCATGCGCTATCATGATTCCGTTATCAATGCAGAATCTCTCATCGGTAGCATAAACTGATCCTCCTCGCTCCCTCGCCATATGTCCCATCATCTCCTGCAACCTCTCATTACAGCCCACACCTCCCACGATGAGGACCTGCGATGACCCAACATGCGCCATAGCCCGCTCTGTGATCTCAACTAACATTGCGAATACTGTCTCTTGCAGTGAGAAACACAAATCTTCTGGTGTGAAGTCTGCGCCAGCCTTCATCTGTGCAGCGAGTGCATCCGCTGAGGCTAGAATTCCAGAGAACGAACAGTCCATGCCCTTGACTGCGTAGGGAATATCGAGGAGCTTGCTTCCCTTCTTGGCGAGCTGTTCGATATTGTAACCTGGCGCGGGATCGTTGCTGATTTCCAAGGTGCGAGCGAATCGATCGAGACAGTTTCCAACTGCTATATCAAGTGTTTCGCCAAATATCCTATATCGCTGCTCGGCATACGCAATAACCTGCGAATTACCACCCGAGACGTATAGCACAACCGGATTATCAGCACCCGTGATATATCTCCCCATCTCGATATGTCCCACGCAATGATTCACGCCAACAAGGGGTCTATCCCAGAGCAAACTTAATGCTCTAGCCGCAACAGCGACAGAATTCAGCGGGGCGCCCATACCCGGGCCTTTCGTGTAGCAGATACAATCGACATCTTTGGGTGTGATTTTCGCTTCGGCGAGGGCTTCGCGTGCGAGACGGACGAAGTGGGCGCGGTGGTGGGCTGCAGTGTCTTTGGGGAGGAAGCCTGTTCCTGGAGGAGATACGAAGGTGTCGCGCAGGTTGGAGAGGATTTTTGTCTCGGTGGGAGTGTGAAGAATGACGCCTATTCCGAGTTTGTTGGCGGAGCCTTCGCAGCCGAGGGCGATGTAGGAGGATTTGTCTTTGAAGGCCATTTTGTATGTGAGGTTGAAGATGGGAAGTTTAAAGGTGGGGGTATCGAGATGATGGTGTTGATGTCACTGCCTGAGCTGCATGGACGTTGTCAACTTTATTGTCAGAGTTTTGAACAGAAATACAGGGGAATATATAAACAATACAATTAGTATTAAAACTATATTTCAAACTGTCATAAATGTTGGCTTAGACACGTCAAGAAATGGAAGCAATAAAAAGACGTCTCTAGGTAATCGATAGAGGGGCAGATCTGATCTCGGCCAGGCTTCACTGAGAACAAGGGCAGGTTTTGTAAAGCTCCTCGCTTAGGTAGTACCCTGTAATTATATCCATCCCACACTGAGTGTCCTAAGGGGTACTAGGCGTCATCACCAGCCACAACTTCTCTCGTTTCCGTAGCGGACGGGAGGCTCCGATTTACAATTTTCAGGGTCCAGCTAAACCGTGAACAGCAACGGTACATAAAACTCCGTGACGAGGGCAGATCTTTCGCACGGGAATAGTGGTGATCAACAGGAGAGAATATGCGTACAACTGTGCGAGAACTGAATCATAAATAATGCCTAAATAGCGCAATGACAAGAACAGGACTATCAGATCTAACAACTTGACACTCATCGTGATAAGAACTACTTTAGACAATCATCAATGCAAGTTTTTTTTCTGCTTCTTTTTTCGCTTTAGCACCAGCCACGCTGTCTCCATAAAAAGCTTCTACTGTGGCTAAAAGATGTGTAAATCCACAACACCCGGTTCGCCGGCCACTTTTCCTTCACCCGCAGCCCGCCCTCCACTCTAAAGCCTCCTCTATCACTCGCATTTCACACTCGACAGCTTTTTCCCACTGTCTCATACCATTAAATCACCATCCCAGCTGGCATACGCTTCTCTTCATGGTACTAGCAGGTACTTTTCTCTTTGTTTCGAGTTTCTTTCTCACTTATACTTTACGTGGCCCCTGCTAATATGACATCCGTATCAGCCTGGTCCTCTCGTCTAGTCTAATAAGCTTGGTCACCTTTTACAGCACGGCACCATGATCATGCAACATCTCCTCTTCTACGACGCAGTCAACACGGCGATACACTCTCTTGATCTCTTCAGATGGCCCTATCACTACAGTTATATCATCAAGTTTGCATTCGCTATCGTCGGCATATCAGATCCCGATCCTACAGAGCTTCCCCTCAGCCTCCTCCAACATGACAGCGCATGATCACCTCACGACGCAACGATGATCTCTCCGGCCACGGCAAAGACATACGATTCACGACACCAGGGAAGAGGCAGCATCATCTTTGTGGTCTAAAAGTGGACCCTGGTTCTTTTTTTCATTTTATGTCGACCTGGGCCGCAGAATGTTCTTTCACTTCAAAACCCAAATACCCACCACCCGCTCCGAAACTCCTTGCAATGCCCTGGTCAACGACTAAATAATACACGATGCCCCATCTGTCTGCCGAGGGCTCGACTTGTCCCAGCAGTCCGCCGTCCGTTCTGTCAACATTTCTGGGGTATAAAACAAACATCCACCATATACATACAATCCACTGCCCACGGTACGCTTACGGCACCGTCTGGGCAGCTTGAGCTTGTGCTTGTGCAACCGCCGCCGCTTTAGCTTGCGCTTTCATAGCCAGATGTGCTTGTGCTGCCGCTTGAGCATGGGCTTGAGCATGCGCATGCGCCGCCGCTTGTGCTGCTGCTGGCGATGGCAGTACTCTGTTACCTGCTTGTGCTTGAGCTGCTACCACGGCATCTGGTGGTACTGCTGGGCGTCCTCGAAACATGTATGGGTTCAACGGAATTGTTGCCCGGAACTTCAATGCTCGGGTATCAAATGGATCAACCTCATATACAGGTGGCTCATCGTCATCTGAATCCGAGTCGTACCTCCACCTATCCGACTTCTCACCATGTTCTGGCGGTGGCGTCACCATGCCTCTTCGATCAATCCACAATCGGTTCAGTCGACCAATACGTCGACGGAACGAAGGTTGGCTACTCTTGGAGGGCTCACTTGATCCAGCAGAAAACTGGAAAACAGGTGCCTCCCGTTTGTCCACTTGCGTGGCATCAGGTATGTGTGTGTCTACTTCCATTTCTGACGAGGTGGAAGCCGGGGGTGTCATCAAGTACTGCGTCTTCGCTTGTCGGAACTTGACTTCTGTGCCCTGTTCCTTGACTGGCGAGAGCGGCTCCCCGGTTAGGTCAATATGGTTATGGTTCCACTTCCGGTGGTTCTGGACCTTCATTTCTATGTCAAGTCGAAGTTCATTCTCCTTCTCTGCCAGCTTGTCTGACAACAAGACAAGATCAGCATCAAGTGTTCTTCCATCAGACCGTACAGGTTGTCGCAAGTGGGCACCGGTTGGCTGTCGGATGACTGGAGGCTCTGCAGGCTTGCGTTTCTGAGGCTACAAAGCGAGTTAGCATACGAGGAGCGGAGCAGTCTCGCATTGCGAGTATTGGTTCGGCGTACCTTTTGATTGACGAGATCCTCGTCCTCGCCTTTGATGCCCAGCCGAAGTTTGGTTTCCTTGAGTCTTGCCCTTTCTTCAAACAGAGCGCGGTCCATCGACATGAGCTCTCGTTTCAACATTTCACGTTCATATGCAACAAGTACCAATTGCCGACCATCCTCAAGTTCTCGTCGCAACTTCTTGAGTGTTTCCGCAATTTTGTTGTCACGAGCTCTGGTCTTTCGAGTCTGTCGAGCCTCGCGTCGTCTGAAACAGACGAAGGGATCCGTGTCATCAGTCTCCTGATGAGTCTCAAACTTCAGAGTGGGATGCAATGGCTTATTGCCGGCCTCCTGTCGCCTTGACTTCCAGTATTCATACACTGGCTTAGCGTGTTGAAGGATAGCCGGCGACCCAAGTTCGTGAAGTGCAGGTACCATCATGTCATAGGCGGCAACGGTATTATCGACTGCTGCAAATGGTGTCTGCTCCGCTGCCGTGTCTTCAAACACCTCCATGATGCGTTCAAAGTCATCCTCAGAGAGTGCCCCGGCAGCGGGTGGCTTACTATTATACTGTTTGAGGAACTCATCGTCCTCGGTGGTCATGTCATAGAGACACGATATACACTCCTCAACAGTTTGTGAAAAACGGATGTAAGAGGAGGGTTTGTGAAAAGGGACAGGATAGAGCTCATCATAGTTGATGTCGCTCTCCTGGGGAGGCGGAACAGGAATTTCTTGGTCATTGCTAGTTCCTGCCTCCTTGAGAATGGTTTGAAGATGGTATTCCTATTGAGAATGTTAGTATGAGGTCGAGGCTAGGAAATAGACTGCTTGTTGTTGGATGATAGTACCATCCAATCACAGCAAGACAGGGATGGGGTGATGAAACATGTCACGTGAACAAACACGTGATATCACGATATGTGGCAGAACAAAGAGGTGACTCACGTTTTCCTCGGCCTGCTCGACGCCGGTCGCGATTTGGTTATCGGTCGTTAAAGCTTCATACTCGTTCGGATCGATCTGGTCTTCGCGAAGAACTGGAAGCGTCGTCTTGACGTTCAACTTCTTGACGCGGACTTTGCGTGATGACATGATGCCAGGGGGTTGGAGGGAGGTGGGAGAGAGAGGCGGTCAGGCGGCGGAAAAACCGCGAAAAAAAAGCGATCAAGTCATAAAACAAGTACTTTCGAGTTGATCTTCGACAAAGAATTAATGGAAAAGGTGCTGTTGTAGTCTTTTTCGATGGCAGCTTGGTCGGGCTCGATGGGGTGACGTTGGGGTTTGTTTTGGCGCGTAAAGATTTTTCTCTGTTGCTGCCCGGAGTTTTTGGCAAGGGAGAGTCATTGAATGGCTAGAGAGAGAACGGTAGAGTTTGATGACGGTGTGCTGATGGGAGGGGTCGAGGTCACTCTCCACGGCGTCTTCGCGGGCGAGGTACTTATGACGCTTGGACCACTGCCTCCTTTTTTTTGGGGCTGCACTTTCCTTCCGTTTGGTACGGAAGGTTGTGGTTTGTTTTGCTGGGAGCGTGCATTTTAGTGGTAAGTGTCCCGAAATAGCGCTTGCTTTTAGTGAAGTAAGCACTGAAAAGGTAGGAACGTTTTGTTGCTGGCTCGACAACCACGTATCAGACGGTCTCTGACAAAACGCTAAGTTGTGAAAGCTTTCATGTTGAAGCTCATGTAAATATTTTTTTTGAATTTGATCATTTTTATCCCTTCGTGTAATTTGTAAATTTCTGCTAGCGAAACTGTATTCTTCAATCGTACCTTCAATAAATCCAAATTTCAGTTGCTGACCGTAACACAAATATCAACATGGAAGGTGCACCGTAAGGAAAACGGAAGTCGTGCTTGAAGGAGGCGGGAGGTCCTGCTTCTTGAGGCGGTCGCCCCGCAAAGTAATTACCCCTCCGCGCAATTGCCCCTTTGCGCAGAAGATCGGTCTAGAATGACCTAAACTTAGCGATAGTGACAGTGAGACCTCACTTCAGCCTTATCACCAACATTTGGACAACAGCACAATACAGCTTATTTATAACCCGACGACGCCGCTTCGCCACAACTTAACTCACCCCGAAACAAACACCAACACTCAAATCAACGACATAGCTCTACGTTGCCAAAATGGGCAACACCACCAGCGCAGTCCTGGACAACCTCGTCCAAGGATCCAACTGTGAGCCTTGCCCTGGCCCCTTGGAAGCCCTGACCCCTCAACGCGAACGCACGGTTGGGGGGAGGGGTGATGGAGTTAAACATATACTGAGATGTACGGTTTCTAGTCGACAGAGAGGAAGTTGATCGTCTGCGAAAGCGATTCATGAAGCTGGACAAGGTGCGCAAGCTTTCCGACTTTTTGGTCCTTTGTCATATCGGATGATGAATATGGCTGGGACTTTTACAAGCACAATGGACGTGAAGGGCTGACTTAGGACTTCTTAGGATAACTCCGGTACGATCGAACGCGATGAATTCCTCAGTCTTCCACAGATCTCTTCCAACCCTCTGGCAACACGGTCCGTTCAAG